GCAAGATTGAGCACAGTCCACTATTGGAGCTGCAGTTCAGTTTTATCAAAGATGGCTGGCATTAAAATGTGAGACACAACTTCATGAATGCCAGGAATATAGTTTCATATGGGACCTCCAAAGGTCATCTGACCCAAAGCCCTGTGTAAAGCAGGTTCAGTTAGATCAAGTTGCTAAGAATTTTCTCTAGTTAAGTTTTGAAGGGTCCTTCTCAGTTTCTTTTCTGCTGCTTTATGGCTTGCTGCCCCCAATCGTGTACTGGTGAATGGCACTATTCCTCCCCCAGTGCCATCATTGAACACCATGAGGTTCTTCTCAGCCCATTTCTCCAGCCTGTCCAGGTCACTTTGAATAGCAGCCCTGTGCCCCAGCATTTCCCAAGTTAGTATTGTCCACTCACTTATTGTATGTGCCACCCATCATTCAGGTAATTAATTAAGACATTAAATAGTTTTGGCCAAAGTTTTCATTCCTGAACAACTACTGTTAGTTGACTGCCAGTTGAATTTTGTGCTCATAATCTTCATAATTTGAGCCTGGTTTACTGTCCATTTATTCTTGATATCTTATTAATTTGGTTCATGACTGAGTATTTAGGTAGTTGTAAGCTCAAGCAAATTTTCTTCACATAGGACTTTGATATATGTTTAGGATATGGTGGTATTTTTATGTTAAGGCAATCAGTTGTTGTGTTTATCAATTTGCTAGTAGATAGACAAAGGCATCGTGCAAGCTGTGATGTATGAATGAATACATCTGTTGGTTCATCACCAAGCACTATTTATCCTGTTACTAAAACTATACCTTGGATAAACAAATAACAAGCAGGTCAAATATTTGCATATTTCTCTATTAGTTCACTATTATGCCTCTCCTGTCTTCCTTTGTTAAGTAAGGTAATTCCTACTGCTCAAGAGGACATTATAACCTATAAAACTCAAAATTTTCAACAAAATAAATTACTTAATAAAGTAACATGCTTATTGACTTGCATTAAATACTGACATATTTCTTTTTTTGAGACATTAAAACAAGAGAGTTTCTTTTCTTAGAGAAAACACATCATTATATCTTGCCTCTAAGCTGATTGAAATGAAAATTAAGTTGTTCTACAGATCAATAAATTGTTTCTGTACTACAGTGACAGATAATACATACATATTGTTTATTGACAGTATAGTTTATTGAAAGAAAGGTGAAGATCACTTATATGTACTTGAACAATGTTTTAATTATCATAAAGTCCTATGTAATATAATTAACTGGAAAAGAGTATTAATTTACTCATTTCATGAGCTAAGTGAATGTATCTGAATGAATATCAGCACAAAAACTGAGAAACAAATCAGCCTCTAAAGAATCTAGATCCATAAGCCACTGGGCAGCTCTTCTGGAACAAGTTAGAACATCCCTAAGAGTGTCTAATATTTTTGCTTTACAACAGCTCCTGGAAGGCTGTAATGCTGGTAACATTCTGTTCAACTCGGACAGATTTGGTGAAACAGTTTTGAATTGTTGAAACCAATCTTTAGAGGGTTGAGACAGACTCATAGCTTACAATAAAGAATCATAAATTCACAGTATATGCATCCCACATTATTCAGTGCCCAAGGGAACTTTCAACTGAGACTTTGGTTGAATCTTCTACTTTCCAGTAATAAAGTTTACAGTGATTTAGTGTTTAGTAAGAACATTTCCATTTCCTACTGCTAGTTTAAATAAAATTCTGTAATATATTTTACTGAATCATCATGTTATTTACCTGAATTATTACCTGAGTTTTATTCTTTTATGTGATTTTTGGTTTTAGATAGTATTATTTGTAATAATTTGGCTTATGTCTGTATGAGACATCTTCAGGCTTTCTTTGTGAAGCCATGTTTAAATACTTGTTGGGAGACATTTCTGACCTTACGATCTAATAGTTTTTAGTTTTTATCAGTTTTCTTTTAATTCCATCAATTTTTTGGAAACATTTCAGTTCCACAAATACTGACAGATAACTAATGAGTGATTTTAAATATTTGTTTTGCTTGAAGTTTTAGTATTTCAGAATGTTTGAAGCTGGTATCAGTAAAATGATTTTCTGGAACAGATGGCTAGCACTTGGGGTGTGATTATAAAGCAGAGTGTAGTGTCATGTGGATATATTTGAACTAAGTTTGACTATTTGGAAGTCTCTAATTAGTTCACCCCATCATATGGTTATAACACTTGCAGTTCCTGAAGTGGCTTGGTTATATAACATATCCTTTATGGCCTCTACATAACATATTCTTTATGGCCTCAACCTTTTCCTTTTTGGAATGCATTAGTCAGAGCAAAAGTGTCAAAAGACCACATTTCACATTTATTTTAACAATAACTAAATTCCAAAATGAATCTCATCCCATCACTATAATTTTATGTATGAAATAAAGCAAGCAGCAGTATGAAAGTGTCAGTTGACGTCATCCCTAATCATGAAGCATTGCAAATGAATGCAAGGCAAAGCATCACATTTATTTGGAAATTTGTGAAGATGTTTTTTATATGCGTATCAAAGAATTGTAACAAAGAATTAACTATGTGTTCCAACTGAATCAACTACTAAGATGTTTTGCTGTTATATGACTGTTGGTATTTTCTTTCTTTTTTACATGCTTTTTTTTTTTTTTTTCTCTTGTTCTGCTGGACACTTCATGTTTCCCTTGAGATATTCCTAATTCATGGTAACTTATGTTAGTTTTCCTAGGAAACCTCTCTTTCCTTTCAGACTAACAAAGTTTAGCACACTCGTCTATCTTTGTCACACTCCTATTTGTTTATTAGTATTATGGGGTAGTATTGCAAAAAATAATTCAAGACTATAAATAGGTTTAGGAACCATTGTTCAAGGAATTAGACAAATTTGTAATAAAATCTATTTTCTAACAGTTGTCTAAAATTAGTTGTATTTTAGTGATAGCATCCATTCCCTCTGCAATTGCAGTTTTTGTAGATTGATAATTTCTTCAATCCATTCAACAATAGAGATTTTTGGCCATAATGCAGGTTTAATCTCTGAATTCTGTTTAAATTTTACCTTTCTCTTTCTACGTTCTTACTGAGGGCACCTCTGCAGTCATGCGAGCTGGTTTAAACCCAGCAACCTGTAGCAACATACTAGCTTTGATTTGTAGTGTCTTCTGATTTACCTCAGTGTTGCTGTGTTGCATTCACTATCACAGAATTCCTAAGAGAAATACAGAAGAAACTGTAGAGTTTCAGAAGATAGTTAATAACAGAAGTTGATATTTTGCTCTTTTTTTTGTGTTGGTGGTTGGTCTGTGATGTAAACTGTGAAGACTGTTGTGGAGGGATTTGGATGAGGAGTTGTTTGGACAGGGAATTGGTATGTACACACCTTCTATTGAAAGTGTATTATCCTTTTCAGTGCTGGTAGGTTTCAGAATCCCTGCTGTGTTACAACACTAGCATTATTGAAGAACATTTTTTTGAGATGTCTTTGAGGCCTACTTTCAGATGGAAATTGAGGTTTATATAATCACATTGTGTCTGTTGGTGTTATGGGATGCTCTCAAATAAACAACCAACCACCAAAAATAATAATAAAAAATATTATCAACACAATTAACTAGCTCTCTATAAATTATAGGTTCAGATATCTGTTAGAGGAAGACAGCACAGATTTCCAAGGTTTAACAGCAACCTGCAACGCTTTACAAAGAGCTCTATAGGGTTTAATGGCAACCCAAAACACCAGACAAAGCCTCACTCCCTAGGGTTTAAGGACAACCCAAAACACTTTATCACCCACCTGACAAGTGAGGGCTCTCAGCCTCGAGGACCTGCTCAGGGCAGCATCTCGACCCACGGTCCCTCAAGGAGTTTCCTTGGGCAGCATCCTGACCCCAAGGGGAGAGTCCTCAACCACAGCTGTTGCTCCAGGAGACAAGCTCCAAATGTCTCCCCCAGGGGACTCCATTTATACCAAGGCTGAATCTGACCTGTAGTCAGTAGCGGCTCCCATTGGCCAAAAGCCCCAATTGCCACGAGGCCCTGAGAACAAAGGCAGCCCCGGGCTACTGCTCTGAGATGGCAGCCAAGAAGCTCTGCTTTCACTGGCAGGATGCACCTGCCACAGTTGGTCACTTTTTTTCTCCTTGTGGTACCTCCCTGTCCCTCAGGCAACTTTGTACCTGTTAGGAGATTTAATCCAAAAGGATAGTGAAAGTAAAGAAAATTATCTTTCAAAATAATATTTTATTTTCTAGTGATTAACCTAATAGGTTATAAAAATAATGAAAGGAGGTCATATATTTGTTATGGATGCTTTTCATGGGCACAATTGTGTAAAATTGTGTAACACTTTTAGGTACCCATTATGTTCACTTTCCTTTACTGTGAATGCCAATTAAAATTTGTGTGCAAAAGGTTTTGTGCTGCAACAAAACCACTACAAAGTGGTAATGGTAAATATTATTACATTTTTCTGTTAAAAAAAAAAAAAAGTGTTGATCCAATGTTGCAAAATGTGTGTTGATTCAGTGTTGCAACATGTTGATGCAGTGTTGCAAATCTGATCAGGAGGGAATTTCAGAAAAACAAATTCTAAATCTAACATACAAAGATTATCCAGTTCACTCATTTGTCTATTTATTTGATGGTAAGTTGGTGACAATAAATGTATTTTGGTTATAGAGAAGATAAACATTTAAAAATACTGTTGTGAAATAAACTTCAGTTAATTTCTGTGTTATGTGAAGAATAGCAAAAATAACTGTGAAAACCAAAATCCTGCATTAGGCAATTTAGATTTTGAATAGGGAATGAAGGCATCCCAAGTAAAATACAATTCCCTTTTGAATTATTTCAGGAATCTAACTAATTTTATAGGTTTACTTATCAGTTTTGCATATTAAATACTCTTCCATTTACTCAGAAGTGTATCAAGTCGTTCTCTACTTTAGTTTGGCTAAAAAATGTCCAAGCTATTGTGTTGTTTTTTCTCCCCCCAGAACATTATCAACTCTATGTTCCTGAATCAGCTCAAGTTGGATCAGCTGTTGGCAAAATCAAAGCAAATGATGCAGACACTGGTTCAAATGCAGACATGAAGTACACTATTATAAATGGTGATGGGTCTGGGGTGTTCTCCATATCTACTGACAAAGAAACAAGGGAAGGAATTCTTTCCCTAAAGAAGGTAAGCAACAGACTTCAAAAGTTCCCTCTGTATGTGAATAAAATATGACAATGAATGCTGAAAAAGCATCTACCATGATGAAAATACTTCACTGTGTAAACCTCTTGAACCATAAACTTTAGCAGCTTAAACTTCTCCACATTGCTTCCTGAGATACTTTAAATCTTTGCAGGAAAGGCAGGGAGAACAGAAATTAAAGAAACAGTTATTTAAAGGTTCTGTGCATTTTGAGTGGTCATATCTAACATTTATAATAAACTAAATCTTACTGAATTTTTAAAGATAATTTCATTTTTCTGAATAAGGTGTTTCCATATTATATTTCTTTGAAAGAAGTATAATTTGCCTGAAAGTTGTCACCAAACTACATGAATCTTGACATAGAAAGTGTATCTGTGGCAATGAATATATATTTCAGTTCTCATAGACTGTTATTCTTTGACTTACTTGCCAGCTAGCATCTAAATGGTATCAAGTATTGTGCACTGTGTAAAGTAAATACCAACTTCCTTATGAAGACTCTAAATGTAACTGCTCAAGCTATCACACAATTATAATTTGTATGAATTTCCTATATTTATCACAGTCTGTTTATTAATTATAAAGTGTTCTTGCCATTTATTTAATTATCTGAATTCCATGCACAAATCTAATTCCATAGTTAAATTCATCTCTGTATTAAAAGCCCTCAACTGATTTCATAGTGAACATTTCCTGGTCTGCCAACTCATGCTAATATTATATGGCTAGATTTAAATTGACTTGTATAATAACCCAGAGGGATGGTTTATTATATGTAAGTGATATTTTTTAAAAATACTTTTCAACAAAGGGACATAATTTCTTCATTCCAGCTTTCACTCGGGCTAACACATCACTTAGCAATACTCACATGGATTTGTTGTTGTTGAGTCTTGTAGGCATCAATTATGTCCATACAGCCAAAAAAATAAAAGTGAATTTGTATTCATTTTTATTAATATGTATTCTGGGCCTGAATGAAAACCAGAGAAAATGTGCGAAAGAGAATAAACATAAGAATGTTGGGGGGTTTACATCTGAATAGATAAGTGTGTATGTAAATTTTTATTTAACATCTTATAAAAGATTTTGTGACTGAATGAAATGTTATTTCTGTAATTCATAATGATTTTAAAAGGGTTCTTATCTCCCCCAGTATCTTAAAGAGCTTTAATTTGGTGTCATAAAGGTTGTGTAATACACACCTCTTTCAGCCACATAAAAGTAAACTCTTTCTGTTTTATACCACTGAACTTATTTCCTGATGGTCTTGATGTAGCTAATGCCATAATCTGTTATTTCTTCTTCAAAATGAGCATTATTCTCTCTTTAAAAGTTCACCATGACTATTGTTCATTAAATACAACATTTATACATATTGAGAACATGAAGCAGAAAGGAGGATTTTGCAACAAAATAAAAAAAGTCCATAGATAAAAAATATAAAATCACATTTCTTACTGGGTTTGGCACACAAAATAGGTTCAAAGAAACTTTCTTTATGTTTTAGAATATGACAAAAGCACGTGTCGCCTGTTCTTATACATACACATGACAGTGATTTGAGTCATTTTCCCATCAAGAAAAGAAGAGCTACATTTTGCTTAGGTAATGTTATATTTCAGTTGAGCAGAAAATTAGCACTTAAGTCTACATAAATTGGTGTGAAATACCTCCATTCTTTCATCAGAGAAGTTATAATATCTCCTTGTACAGTACAAAAAGGTGATCTCATTTTTTAAATTGTGTTTTTACACAGATCTTTTATGCAGTTTAATAAATATTTTTTATACTGTGTGCTGTAATTAGTTTTAATTTATATTGGATATGAAGCTGAATTTGATAGCCTACCTGAAACAGATAATTTCCACTAAGAACAGAATCAGGGCTTTTTTGTATATCAGATGCCTTAACCTTCTATAACAATAGAATAGAATAATTTGTCCTCAAATATTTCTCTAGAAGCATGTATAGTAAGCACATCATAAAATCCAGAAGTAAATATATTAATGTGTCTGAAGATCTGAAGTCCTTCTCAAATCTTTTAAAACTTCACTTATTTGAGGTTCTGATGCAAAAATCAGATTTCTCAGAGCCTCCATGCTAGGCTGTTCAACAGGCAGGCAAAGTCTGTAATTGTTGAAAGGAAACTTTTCTAGTCTCATTCTGGGCTGACCCAGGAAATCCAGTTCTTTCATTATCTCCCCTATTGACAAGCCTTGTGGAGCCACCTTTCAGTCTCAGAGATCCTGCCACAAAGGGTTGATTGCAAACTGTCATGAAGGATTTCCTCTGTGCTTCATGCAATTCCTGTTTGAGCAGGACACTTTAGAAAAGCCAAACTAAATAGGACAGTGAAATCCATTATTCTGAATCCTTCAGAGAATGACTGGTCAGCATGTTCCCCCCTTGTGACTTTCAGAGAAGTATGCTAGAACTTTCCTGATCTCCAGTCAGAAAGTATCATCTGGGTTTCCTAGAAGAAATGGTCTGAGCAGCCCATGTCTCTTCCATTTCATGACTGGAAATGTTCAGGAAACTATTTACTTCTCATAAAATTCTGCTATTGGTTTTGGGATTCTGATTTTAGAAACATAAACTGCAGCATAATGAAAAGTGGTGTTTTGAGGACAGCCTTGTGGTTGGTCACTTAAGCTACATTTAGTATTTTCAGTTTTGCATAAAAAAGATAATAACCAGTGGATACATACTGAAGATATATGGGTAATTGTCATAGAAATACATTGTTCGTTCAGAAAATAAAAAGTATGAATAAAAATTCTGTTTAGGTCCATCTAAAATTAAAATGTTTTCCTTTCTTTCCAAGAAAGACTTAATGATCTTCAGTTTTGGGACAATTTTAAGTAAATCTCGAATTTTTTAGAATTCTAGAGAGACGGGAAAGTTCTGCCTCTCATACAGCTAATGACTGAGATAGGCAACTGATATTCAAGGATTCTCCATCAGTTAAATGAAGAAGAATTTAAACTTAGGTTTTACAATTGAGTGTCCTTACAAGTCATTTATTGGCAAATGTGCTTCTCTTGGAGACAGCAAGAGGTCAGACAGGACAGTGACACATTTTTTTGTCTATTTGGACTTAAATGAGTCTTGCTGTGAATCTGATGGGATAGTTGAAATACTTCCTTTGTAAATATTAATTATTTTGTACTATTATTTTTATGACCAAATTATTGATAAATTAGAATACTTTAGGTATTTTAAGCTGAATGTTGTTATTATTATTAGTGGGACTGGATGGGATACACCCAAGGGTGCTGAAGGAGCTGGCTTGGGTGCTCGCCAAGCCGCTTTCCATCATTTACCAGCAGTCCTGGCTGACCGGGGAGGTGCGACTGACTGGAAATTGGCCAGTGTGATGCCCATCTACAAGAAGGGTCGGAAGGATGATCCGGGAAATTACAGGCCTGTCAGCTTGACTTTGGTGCCCGGGAAGCTGATGGAGCAGCTCATCCTGAGTGCCATCACACAACACATGTGGGACAACCAGATGCTCAGGCCCAGTCAGCATGGGTTTATGAAAGGCAGGTCCTGCCTGACAAACCTGATCTCCTTCTGCAACAGGGTGACCTGCTTATTGGATGAGGGAAAGGCTGTGGATGTTGTCTACCTTGACTTTAGTAAGGCCTTTAACACCGTTTCCCGCAACATTCTCCTGGCAAAACTGGCTGCTCACAACTTGTCTGATTGCACACTTTGCTGGGTAAAAAACTGTCTGGATGGCCGGACCCAAAGAGTTGTGATGAATGGAGTTAAATCCAGTTGGCGGCCGGTCACGAGTGGTTTCCCCCAGGGCTCGGTTTTGGGGCCACTCCTGTTTAACATCTTTATTGACGATCTAGACAAGGGGATCGAGTGCACCCTCAGTCAGTTTGGAGATGACACCCAGTTGGGTGGGAGTGTTGATGTGCTCGAGGGTAGGGAGGCTCTGCAGAGAGACCTGGACAGGCTGGAGCCATGGGCTGAGGCCAACTGGAGGAGTTTCCATAAGGCCAAATGCCGGGGGCTGCCCTTGGGCCACAGCAACCCCCAGCAGCGCTACAGGCTTGGGGAGGAGTGGCTGAAGAGCTGCCAGTCAGAGAGGGACCTGGGGGTGTTGATTGACAGCCGGTTGAACAGGAGCCAGCAGTGTGCCCAGGGGGCCAAGAAGGCCAATGGCATCCTGGCTTGTGTCAGCAATAGCGTGGCCAGCAGGGACAGGGAAGGGATCTGACCCCTGTACTCGGCACTGGTGAGGCCGCCCCTCGATTCCTGTGTTCAGTTTTGGGCCCCTCACTACAAAAAGGACATTGAATGACTCGAG